ACACACACACACACACACACACACACACACACACACACACACACACAAAATCTGGCTTTTTCAGAGCCAGGGGGAGATAAATGATTTACATGGATATCGCAAGCTAATTTCCTAAGAAGAAATGCTCAGTGTCCTAAGAATAAATGCACAAAGTGGAAAACTAATTCATTAGGCCTGCCTGTAATTTCTGCCGTTAGCTTTAAATAATCCAATAAAAGGATATTGAGTATTTTTTTTTTTGTGGTACGGGGGCCTCTCACTGCTGTGGCCTCTCCCGTTGCGGAGCACAGGCTCCAGACGCGCAGGCTCAGCGGCCATGGCTCACGGGCCTAGCCGCTCCGTGGCATGTGGGATCTTCCCAGACCGGGGCATGAACCCGTGTCCCCTGCATTGGCAGGCGGACTCTTAACCACTGTGCCACCAGGGAAGCCCGATATTGAGTAATTTATTTGCTGTTAATAAGGTAGTCAACAGGTCGTATTTTTGACAATGAGTCTAAATCAGTGCATGTTTAAGATAAAAAAAAAATTGAAAATCAAATTGTATTGCGGGAAGCTGTTTTTATATAGCTTCAAACAAAATCTAAATGGCATAAGCTGAATAAATAGAATAACAGTTTTTAAAAATAACCTATGTATGTTTTAAGCAGGAGTATGTCTCCAAACCTCTTAAACAGAGCATCCCCGCTTGCTTTCAACGCTGCAAATTCGAGCGTTGGTGCCGACTGCCCAGACCCATTTGCAAATGGTGCTGATATCCAGATCAGCAACCTAGACTACAGATTGTCCCGGAAGGAGCTGCAGCAGCTCATGCAGGAAGCGTTTTCTAGACACGGCAAGGTAACCTTTTCACTCTTGTTCTTGCCTTTGTTTTACCCCTTGCTGGCATTCAAGTTGAGTGCACTTAACTCAACACATGTAACTACAGGCAGAGTGTAAGTGTCACTCAACGAGTTTGAACACCTTCCTTTTTCCTCTGGCCTGCTCATGGTGGTGCTGTGTATTCTGTTTTTAGGATACAGCCCAAGAGAGCAAGAAGCCTGGCATAGAAGCACTCGTGGTCATGGGCAGGGATTTCAGTGGCTCTTCGGGAAATAAAACACTGATGGGTTTTAGTTAGCTCTGGCTGCTAAAATATGGAAATAGGGTTCTAAAATGATATTGGCTGTTTTTGTTAATGTCTTACGGTATCTGATTCAGTTTTTAGGTGCAATTTGCTAAAAATGCACCTTTTACTGAAACTTAAGATGGCTATGCCCCAGGTTTTGGCAGGGTCTGGAGAAGACGCAAAAGACTCCTTACATGTGTTGGCCCCTAAGCCTGCCTTGGAGAGCATTGTGTGCCAGAGCACAAGGCAGGCTAGGCTGACGTTACATCCCTGAAGGTCACCCATCCTAGCTCACTTAGGTTCTGGTCAGCGGAAGTGCACAGTTCAGACAGGTTCCCTCACGGCAGCACTGAAGCCCACAAACCAGTTGCCTAGTGAGTCACCTTCAGTTTTAAGAGGACAGGGTTCTGGGTAGATCAGCATTCTGTTTTCCTTTTTACTGCTGCAGGTGAAGAATGTTGAGCTCAGCCCCCACACAGATTATCAGCTCAAAGCTGTTGTTCAGATGGAAAACTTACAAGAAGCAATCAGTGCGGTGAATAGCCTCCACAGATACAAGATTGGCAGCAAGAAGATCCTGGTCTCACTTGCCACGGGAGCCGCTAATAAATCACTCTCTTTACTGAGGTAAAGAACAAACAAGCCGTTTATTTCAGGAAATAACATTTTGGCCCAAAAACAATTTTAGAAATAATAAAAATAGATTTTATCCCATTCCCAACCCTCTTGTGATGATCACATATGCAATAAATGCTTTTTCTCCCTTGATAGAGTTAGAAATAAGGTAGAAGTTAGAAATAAGCTAGCTAGAATAGTTTACCCTTGTTCAAGTCATTAATCAAAGATGAAGTACAGCTTAAACTTGGCAGGCACTTAGGAGTAAAATAATATGCCACATATCTAGAACAGGTTCTAAAAATAGTAGGCCTCTACAATAAAAGTTTATAAGCCTAGAAAGTCTGAAATATTACCTTCCAATCTTAGTAGAAGGTGGATTTGTCTATAACACGTAGATCTACAAAGCTGTAAGCTCTCAACTTGCAGATATATCTTTAACGTCACATAGACACCCAGCCCCGTAAGCCTGCATTACGACTAGACTAATCTTAGGAATCTAGTGATGGTTTTATTCATAATATGCTTTTGACACACAGCACCCTGTAAGTTTAAGGTGTACAGACAGTATAATGATTTGTGCACCAGGAACTAACATACTGTTTATAGGTCAATTATACTTCAAAAAACAAGCCAACAGACTCATAGAAAAAGAGATCAGATTTGTGGTTACTAGAGGTGGGGTATGGGGGAAGGAGGAATTGGATGAAGGCAGTCAAGAGGTACAAATTTCCAGTTATAAGATAACTAAGCACTAGGGGAGTGATGTACAACATGATTAATATAATGAACACTGCTGTGTGTTACGTATGAAAGTTGTTAAGAGAGTAAATCCTAAGAGTTTTCATCACAAGGAAAATAATTCTTTTATTTTGTGTCTATATGAGATGATGGACGTTCACTTACTGTGATGATCATTTCATAACATACACAAGTCAAACTTCACCATCATTAAGTTATTTTTTAATTTCCTAGAATAAAGATAATACTCATTAAATATAATTTTAAAATTTCAGAAACATAAAAGAAGCAGGAGACAAAAAAATCATCCATAATCCTATGGCTTAAAGCCAGTCACTCTTAACCAGTGTATTCAGTTGTGTATCTTCAACTGTGGGGATTCCTCGCCCATCTGTCTGTTAGAACTGCGCTGTGGCAGGAGACAGTCAAGCTCTTGTGCCCTTTGCTCTGAATTAATAAAGTGTCTCAGTAGTCAGTGTCTTTCTGATAAACAGGTGTGCAAAGCCCTATGCTTGAGTCTGATAAAAATCCCAGTATATGTGACTAAATATTGTTTAATTGCCTTGTTCCTGAAGTCCGTTCTTTAAGTTTTTCTGGAAGATCAACTGAGATATAAATGGGTATGTTTATTTTGCATACACATGATGGTAATCAATTTTATGAACTCTGTTTTTAAAATACAACTTGGAACGGAGAGGAAGTCGTCTGTTCTCTAATGGACTAAACTTTTTTCTTGCAGTGCAGAAACGATGTCCATTCTTCAGGATGCTCCTGCCTGTTGTCTGCCTCTTTTTAAATTTACAGATATTTATGAAAAAAAGTAAGTAAGGGTTACTTTTTTCATTGATCCAGCCAGTACTGATGGGTGACTTCCATGCATAAAACTGGTAGCAACTCTTAAGGAACTAGCAGAGGAAATAAGACCAAGACAGTGGTGTTCAGATTGAAATTCCAGTTTTAACACACATTTGAAGAACGTCTTTCATTTTTAGCAAATTTAGACCTCAGTCCCCAAAGCTGTACTTTCATCTTTTCCACTTGGCTGATGAGTTTTGTTATTCATTGTGTGAACATTTTCAAGCACCTTCTAGACTGTAAGCTCCAGGACAGCAGGCACTGTGTCTGACCTAGCACCATGTCTTCAATGCCCAGTGCTCAGTAGACGCTCAGCAAGTACTAGTGGAACGAAAGGCTCTGTGGAGGGTGCAGAGCTGGAAAGACAGCCCTTGTCTTTGGGGCTGTTATGTCTGGAAGGGAAAAGACACTCGCCATATATTGTATAGAACAAAGAAAACTATCATTACAAAGGAGGAGTAGGAAGGAGAAAAGGCCTTGAGGTTACAGAGGGTGGAAGGAACCAGGAGCTTGGCCATTATCCCGTGGATAGTGGGAGCCACTGAAGTATCGGAGGAAGGAGGGGAGGGGAGAGGTGTGGTGGTGGGAAGACTTCAGGCAGTGGTGGTGTTTGAGCTGGAGTGAATGGGGAAGGGAGAGAGACACGGGGGAGTGTGTGCACCAGTCCCGGCTCTGAGTAGACGCTGTCGGAACAGAGGGAACTAGACACCACAGAAGTTTCAAATGTCAGTGAAATTGGACTTAGTAACTAGTTTTATGTAGCAGGCAAGGTAAAAAGTAGAGGTCAGTTTGATTCTGAGTTTTCTGCCCTAGGTCACAGGGAGGAAGTTTGTATGGTTAAAC